AACATTCTCATGGCAGTATTAGCAAGCAGAACAGGCTTCGTAGCCGCACGATTATGAATAAAACATGCACGTTGAAGGCAACTTTGACATTGTGCGCAAGGTGGTAGAAAAAAAGAAACACAAAATATCCATCAACAACATACTGCTTCATGTGATGATTTAAAAAAGCGAACATTCCCCATATAAACAAGAAACAGCACCGGTAAAAAGGGGGCCATGACCTGACCAAAGCAAGGCCACCGCGCCTCCAGGGCTCGGAGCCGCTCCTCCTGAGCGTCTCGGTGAACAAGTAGCCACCGAACTTCCGAACTGTCTATTCCCGACGCCCTGAAACATCTCAACAATTCTCAAAACCTCATCCTTACAGGAACACTTGCGCGAAAAATGAGGCCATGGGACAGGACATGTGTTCTTGAGAGAGGCCGCCTGGGCGAAGCAACGGCAGTGCAAGAGTGTGTCTGTGAAGGAGAGCACACGTGGCACACAGCGCACGCGGCACGCAAGAAATGCAACACAAAAAAGCCACGCAAAGACACGAAGAAGAACACCGCAAGACAAAGGCTACATCGCCAAGCTTGTAAAACACTAAGCCCTGCCCTGCCCTGAGGGACGGGCGACGTGGCCGAACCTGGCCTCCTTCGTGAAAGGGTGGCGTGGCTCAACGCGGTCAGGGGTTGTTATATGGCCAGCATGGCCTTTCAACATTTGGAAATTTTACAGATGCTTAGCGTGTCTTAGCGTCTTAGGGCTTAGAGGTTTACTCGGTTTGCTCACTCCCAATGCGGCCCCTGCTGCACAACGGACGTTTTGGTTTGAGATTCAAAGGCCCTGCAAGCATAGTACATCTGAACGTGGGCTCAGCTGAAGAAACCCAATCCATGAACACGACAAATAGGGGCAATTTCACACTAGGGTAAAAACCGAAGCTTGGTGTGCTGTAGGGCTGAGGGTTGGCGGACGGCAGGCTTTTGACAGGAGGCTTCTTGGGATTGCTTGACGGCATTGGTAATCATTCATTGAGAGGTAGGGTTGGGTGCCATCAACCATCATTCTTGCTGGCTTACTGTCTTTTGGCCATGGTGCTGGTTGCATCCATTCCTTCTGATTTGCATCCGTTGATGTCACCTTTCCTACACACAAGTTCTCCTTCAGCTTTGGTCAACACCAATGCTCGTGTCACAACTTTGAAAATGATTGTGTATCGGGCAGATAGCATTGATGTCGAATGCAATGCTGAGCGGTAAGTGGATGCACTACAAAGCACTGCGAATATTGGGCTGCATTTGGACTTTGCAAATTGGACCCGCTCGAGTTTCGTACCTCATAAGATCAGCAAGCGTCTGTGGCCTCGTTGCTCGATTTGTTGCTTGACTAGTGGGCATCTCGGGCTAAGGGCTGGAGGTTTCGGGCGAGATAGGCTTCAAACTGAACACTCGCAATTCCAAAAAAAGCCTCTGAAGCGCGCCCACAGTGAAAGGGGTGCTATCGCGACGCAAAGGCCCCTTGATTACAGTGCCAGAACGAGGGTCTCAACTCAGGAGGCCTAGGTTAGAGTCCTCTTGCAAGAGGTCTTTTCGTCCTTATCTCCCTGGCGCCTGCGAGTCGCATCGCGCTGTGGTCCTCGCGATGTCCTGTTCAAGAGGGCCACAAGCCGTCGCAAGGCGAAGGAAACCACTTGCAAGAGATATACAAAACTGGTCTCAATGGTCGATCGTGCCTGTCCCTGTGCCTCCCTTCTAAGGACCGGCCCAACCCAAGCCGGCGGCCGTCCTCCTTCAAGCTGCCCAACAGCTTCTCCTGCAGAGTTTGACGGAGCTTGGGGGTTGTGGGGCACACCCTGAAATCGAAGGAAACCCCCAAAAATCACAACCCTGGCTGGGCTTGCGTGTAAAAAAAACTACACAACTCTTCGGGAACCAGCCCTCGCTCCAGTCCTATTCTTTCGAAGAAGTACATGGGCTTTATGAGGGGATTATTCATGATCATTAGGGCCCTGGGTTCAGGGGTTCAGGGGGCCAGGCGACGACGACCATAGCCCCTGTGCAACCAATGCCACAGGCAATACATATGAAGTAGAGCGGCGCAGCAATGTGCAGCAATCATTCTGCGAACCATCTACATTAGACCATGAACCGTCTTCGGTACAGTATCGAAGGCGGACGACTCGACCTGGTTGGGTCTCAGTAGGGGTGGGGGAGGGCTCAGTGGGCTGCCCTGACTTCCTGCCCTGACTTCCTGCCTTCCTTGTTTGGTGTCTTCTCTTGCGGTCCTTTCTGGTTCTTCCTTCCGGGCTTCGATCCTTCCATCCTTCCATCCTTCCATCCTTCCATCCTTCCATCTTTGAGCCCTTCCTTCATTGCATCCTTGCACCCTTCCTTCCATCCTTCCTTCCTTCGTTCCTTCCTTCTTTCTCTTGTTGATAGTTGCTTTTTTGCGTCCATCCCTTCCCTTCCCTTCCCGCAGATACATGAGAAGCAAACCAATGAAAGCCCGAAAGCCCGAAAGCCCTAAACCCGAAAGCCAAAAGAAAGGGTTCATAGCAGGATCGTGCCACAAAAACTTCCGAACTCTGTCCCCCCGCCCCCGCTTTGATTACAACAAAAAAACATGGCACAATGAAGTTTACACAGCAAAAAAAGGACTGTTGGGTTTTTGTCGTCCTCAACTTAGGGCTCCAATGTACCACAGCCATCGGCAGCCTGCCTGCGTGGCTTGCAGGTTGGCAACCTCCCCGCGCACAGACGCAATCCTGCTCGGATGGTTTCCATGCTTCCAAGACACTTTGCTTGCATGAACCGATGCACGCGAGACAGTGTTTTGGGTGTCTGGGGGGCATTTTGGGGTTGAGCGGGGCGCAGGATCGTATACGATGCATGGCTGCCGGGCTAAAGGTTGGCTCTTGAGTGTTGCTATCAAAAACCTGCGGGCAAGCTGCCCTGCCTGCAGTGACAGCTTCTTCCAAGAAATTGAACCCTGAAAGGCGTTAGGGCTTTGAAACAGGCTTTTGGATTTCCCACATTGCGGTCTAACCACCTGCATATAGCCGCCTGAAACTTTAGGGTTCAGGACTCAGGGCGTCGCCTTCAGGGGGCCTTTAGGAGGTGCCGGGACAGCAATGAGAAAAACCCACGCTGTCCGCGCATCGTGGGTATTGAGCTGATCCAGGATGGCTCCCAGCACTTCCTGCCAGTCTGCTTCTGGTTCTACTTGAACAAGGCATGGGAACCAAGAGCAAACGACAACTGCGCCATCTGTGAGCGAGACATCTCGATGCCATTTCCCCTTCTTCCCGCTCCGACTGAACACAGAGCAATTCAGACAAATCAAAACAGACAAGATCCAAGAAACAAACCGCAAAACAGGGTCAACAAGACACTTGAAAGCATGAAGTAAGCCGCCATCTCTGTCGGTTTGCTAGTCGGAGTCGCAGTTCCTTCCTTTTAACAGAACACCTTGCCTTCCGAGCAGTCGAAGAACTGACTGTTTTTGCCCATCACCGTGAGCAAATGACGGTCATGGAGTCATGCACTGAGCTTATTGCGGTCCTCACAGTTTCGGGGTACCGATTTGGCTACAACGACTTTTCTAGACTCAGGGAAAGCATTCGCATGCCCACCTCACATCATGTTCATTGACCTCCTGGGAAGCAGCACTGCAAACTAACTACATCATCTCCCAATGGCCCCAACTTAAGCCCGACCTACTTCGAAAGCGCAAGAAGCGACAAAAGCGAAACCATGGTTTTCCATGTGCCGCATGCCTGGGAAAGCCACACTTCATATGAACGGTGGAACTTATGCCAGACTCAGCAGAAACACTCGCAAGAACTGGAGAGCCTTCACAACATATAAGTAAGGCAGGCCGTCTCGCCCTGAATAGAAGCACCCTGCGGAGCGTTTAAAAGCAAAGCGCGCTCCAAACCTGAGGGGGCCTGGAGGCGCGACACGCCCAGCAATCCGTCGAGGGACACCGGCTCACCGTTGAGCATCCTCCAGATTCGGAACCCCTCTGACTCTGTGGGATTCAGGAGGTTCTTCCTGTTCGGCTCGGGGCATTCAGCGCCTGACGGGTCTTCTCGCGTTCTTCCATGGTCGGGTTCCAGGGCTGCTTGTGGGTTTCTCCGGCAGCACAAAGGGCACAAGTAGTTTCTGTTGTTTCAGGGTTCGGGAAGTTTAATCGGAGATTAAGCGGGCTGTTTGAGGCTTCGCAGTCGCTACAGGGACTTAAGGGATTTGACTCCTTGCTTCATCAGCATTGCTGGATTTTGCTGGTGTCTTCTGTTAAACCCTGAACTCCTGCTAAGGAGTGCAGTGCCGAGCCTTCTGAGACTCAAAGAACGCCCCCAAGCCCTCCTAAAGCCCCGAGCCTAGCCCCCTCGCCGAAGTCTAGCAGAACTCACACACGTGGAAATGCCACCAAGCTTCCCAGGACGGCGGCACCAGCTCAGTTCACGCGGCCGCAGGCTCTAGTTTTGCAGATCTAAAGCGGCATTTAGCGACATCTGAGTGCTCCAAGCTGGAATCCGCTACACGGCAGCAGATTTTGGCCAAGTGGTGCTGCTGTCTGCTGTGTCCTGCCTGGCTTCTCTAGGTTGCATCTATTTGCATCTGGATGTTGCATGCAGACTTCAACCCCACTGAGAAGCACTTGAGCATAGGCTACGGAGTTCAGACGCACAGATGGTGTCTTGGCCATGAGAACAGGCAGCATGCTGCAGCGACGATCTTCACGGGAATGCTTTGCGCTCCTGGGCCTAAGTAGCTTCTGAACGTAAGCACTCCCAACCATACGCGAACTCTTGCCACACAACGAGCTTGTACCGCTTTTTCTGTTGCCTGCAGGATGTCCTGATCTGTGAGAAATTGTGAGATGGAATGTGGGCCTAAGCTGTGGGGTTTCAGAGAGCTTCCAAGGTTTAGGGGAAGGGTTCAAGCTTCGGGAGTCGTCTTCTTTGCTCAACAGTCAGGACTCTTGCGCAAGGCTCAGAAAATCAGGTGGCATCACCTGGGCCCAAGTCGACTGGGAGTGAGCGGAGTTTGCCATGGCGTGAAGGTAAGGGTGTAAGAACTCAGCATTTTGCCTTCAAGCTGGTTTTCGCGCGAAAAATCGACACTTGAATGTCTGGACATCATGAAGGGAACTGAGCCTCGGCATCAGGGCCCTTGGAGCACAGACAGGCAGTATCTGAACTCACTACACTAGGGGAGTGCAGACCCCGAGGAGTCGAGGAGAGCTGAGTAAAGAAACACATGAGGGCTCGAGTCGCCTGATGAAGGAATCTCGTTAGCCCCAGTACCACGTCAAATCGCCATGGGAAATGGAAAGTGGTACGACCAGGTATCGCGTCGGTGCAGAACACCCCACCGGAATCGCTGCACTAGATGTAAGGGCCTGCAGTGGCCAACATATGATGCTCCTAGTGGTACGCTGCTCTTTCCCTCGTACCGGGATTTCTGCACATGTCATAGTCTGGAGACTGCCGATGTTGACGCTGTGGTGTTTACTTCTGGCGTGAGTGCCACGGCAGTGTGGCATGATTGCCCAGCTAGAAGCCCATGCAGCGATGACCACGTTGTTTCAGCTGACGCGGACATTGTCATTGCCAGTTCGGTCGGCAGCGCTTGTAGGGAGGCTGCTGCTGGTCCTCAAGATGGCACTTACCAAGCTGTTCATTGTGAGCCCTCTTCCTTTGCCGAGCCACGGGGGCTACAGGCTGCTAGGGGCATGGTTCTATTCACGGAGCTTCATGACGAAGTGGGCTTTTCAGCTGCTTGGTGCGGAGTGTGGGAGCCACTGCGCGAGCGGTCGTCTTTTGCAGAGGCCACCCGCGTAGTGAGTTCGACCGGCAATGCTTACTTTTGCCTCAAGCAGGGCGTTGGACAGCAAGATAAGACAACGGGAGGCGGACATGGCGCTTTCAAGGCCGGGTGGCTGGTGTTGGGCAGAGCAACATGGACAGTCCTTCGCACAACAACCTCTCCGGCCTCGTTGCGTTGATGGTCAACCATGAAGGTGACGCCAGCGCTGATGGTCATAGCCTCGAACGTGCTCACAGACGTGGCCTCTTGTTGTTTACACAGCTGCCTGATGAACTTGGCTGCGCAGCGATGTGGTGCGGAATCTGGGAGCCACTGCCGCTGTCAGGTGCATGTGAGCCCGGTGCCGTTGAGGGCGATGAGGCCACGATCCAGACAAAGGAGTGCGTCTCTGGAACGCTTTGGCTTAAATGGGTTCAGTGCTTCCCTGTGGATAAGCTTCCGGAATACAAGCGGAGCCTGGGATCTCCTGGCAAGCATTTCCCGCAGCGCTTGATTGAGTGCAAGCCTGTTGAGGACGATGTTGTGCGATGTTTTGATCCTGGTGGTGTGCAGACGGCTGCTGGAAGAAGACCGTTATGGGCGATCTCTTCTCCACACCCCCGGTCGAAGCTCCGCAGGGTCACGCAGGGCTTCGCGCAGAACCGGATGGGCAACACGGCCAGTCTGGATGTTTCCTCCGACTTTCGAAGCTGTTGACTCTGCCAAGACTGCGCTGAGGGAGTTTCCTGCCCGACATTTCGAAATTTACATGTGCTTACGTGGTAGTTCATGGAGCACAAAAGTCTTGTACAGTATGTTTCGTGGTTGGTGGGCAGTTTTTGCTCTCATAGCCGACGAACGCTGTTTTGAGCACAGGAGATACGGCTTTTTGCTTTCTGGGCAGTCGGGTTAGGCTCCGTGCTCGCCCCTCGGGCAGGTCTGATTTCTGCTCAGCCCCTCAACCAGTCGGGGCTAGTGCATACAGACACCCGCGGGTCCCCCCCGAATTCATCGTTGCCAGGCGTGCGTCGCTCGCGACTCTACCGCTACGAAAGAAAGAAAAGAAAGAAACACATGGGGGGAACCATACTCCACAAGAGCCCTCTCCTATACCCGTCAAGAAGAGCCCCCCTCATTCTGAATCCCCCCCCCCTGATCCCCCCCCCCCGCTCTTCCCCCCCCCCCGAAGGGGGCGTCCTGGAGGCTCGGAGCGGCGAGTCGGCGTAGTTGGCCCAATCGCCTGGGGCCCAGAGTGAGTCTCAGGGCATTAAAGCAGAAGCCCTCAAAAGCCATCAAAACCCGCAAGGCAAGGCAAGTTCTCGCTTTAGAGCGTGGAAACCGAATACTTTTCCGAGTGCGGGATGAGGCCAGTAGGAAAGTGGTGCCCGCAGCTCAACCCCAAGCCTGAATCCTGACCCCCACCCTATGCCCCACCCACTTCCTTCCTTCCCCCACCCCCGCACACATACATGATTCACATTTTTCCGGAGTGAGAAGTGCTCTTTGGGCGGGGGGCCTATCCTTGAAGCCAGGACCTCCATGCAAACTCATTGCCTTCAAACGGACGCCCAAAGCGGAACATCACGGCGCACACAGATTTCTGACACACGCCTGAACAACACTCTAACTGCACCCACAGCAAGTAAAGCACACAATTCCAGGAGATTTACACATTTGTACATCTATATATATATATATATATCCCAGTAGTATCCAAGTTGCCCCAGGCGGAGCCCGTGAGGCCATCCTGGAAAAACATGCCTCGGATGGCCCGGCTTTCCTAGACCAGTGACCTGTAGCCTGTACTTAATCCCTGTTCCCCGAGGAAGAAACAAGGAACCTTTTTGTTCATATATAAGACAGCCCATAACCCAAAAAGTAAAAAGGATCCCTAACACTGATTTAGTGTAAGCTTCAGCGGAGTTTGGGGTGGTGGCAGAGCTTTGGCTGGACTGCAGCGAGTGTGGATTCTAAGAACTCCTTTCAGAACGATTCCGTTGCGGCAAGGCGCCGATGATCGCCATCATCGCCAGCCTGATCCGTTCAGACTTCTCAAGGTGCTGCCACAAAGTACTCCTTCTGCTTCGATGAAGCCTCAAACCCCCCCGAACTTTCCAACCTGCCATTGTTGAGCTCCGCGTTCAGGGACTTGGTCTTCTTCTCAGCATCCTCCCCGGGGAGATTTCAGGTGCAGGACGTGGACTGAAGAATGAGAGAACGCTCAGGCTTTGGAAATTCGGATCGAATCAGGAGGGAGTGCTCGGGGAAAGTACCGGACACAACGAACTGCTCCGTAGCATTTGATGCACATGACCACTTGGCCACTTCACACGAAATGGGGCATCACAGCTCCCAAGCTGAGCGGAAACTCGCCAGAGCCTAGCATCAGTCCAACAGCAGACCCGGGTCCTCAATCTTCTTGCCGAAAGGCAAGCCAAATGCTCCATAACCTCAGATGGCTCTGGGTGCCTCTTTGCATGTTGCAGCCTTCTGAGAGTCAGAAAGCTGCACAGCAAGAGCTTCAGCAACTCGGGGGTTCGAAGCGAAGGCTCACACCGCCCCTCAAAAGCTCCACAGATCCTCACAACGGTTACTCGCAAAACGATTTTAACGGGGGTTCGAAGACACCCCCAAAACTAGTTGGAGCGCCATACTCCCTAGCGTCTTTGGGGTGCAGTGCTTCGCGGGAGCCTCTGCGGGATTCTATTCTCTGAGGGGCGGTGCACTCCAGGATCCTTTGCGGGCTTCTCGGTTTCTCTGAGACAGGGATGCTCAAAATGGGATGATGCTGGAGGTGGACTTTCCAGGGAAGCTCTCTGGGATTTTTGGCTGAGTACACGAAACCAAAGCGAGGAGAAAGGCAAACTCGAAGACCACCCCGGCTGAGCGCTGCTGAGCCCAGGTGCCGTAGTCGCCCAGCGTGTCGGTCTGGATAGTCTGGAGGTTGTACACCCTGCGCACTGCTGTGAGATGACACGATTACAGCCTAGAACCGGCTACCTTTGCAAGGATTTCCGTGGGTCGAAGGGTAAGATACGGGGCTCACAGATTCTTTCCCGATGAAGATACATGTGGCAGAGACCGCTTCGTTCCGCGAATTCGCACTCTCGGGGGCAACAGCATCTCATACGGTGAACGATGTTTAGGATCTATTCGATCATCTCTCCTGGGGAGTGAGGGTGCTTGGTGTCAGGCTGTAGCTTATGTGAGGCGGTAACCTCTGAGCTGTTCAGCTCGAAGAGAACTCCCCAACTCCTGGTCAGAAACCAAACGTGACTAAACGCGCATCCCTGAAGCAAGTGGCCGAAGCCCAAAGCCCTGAAACCCTGAAGCCCGGATGCGAATGTGACTGCATCCAGGTGGCTCAATGGTTCCCACCTCAGTTATGGATTTTCGGGGTGGCTCGGGTACTTCGCATCTACACCGCATTCCTGGGACGAATATCAGATTGCAGTAGCAGCGGAATCTCTTTAGAAGCTTTCTGAAGAAATAGGAGCCTGTGCATCCCAGAGCAGATCTGAGCCCCCAATACGAATCTACACAGAAGGAACGTCAGACGATTGCGCCTATGCACACAAAGTCCCCACATGGGGCACACAACCACTCTACCGCAAGTCATCCCTGGAGATGAAGAACCTGCATTGTCCACGCGAAGAAGATTTTCCAAAACGCTGCATCACTGGGTGGACATTTGGAACTTTCCTGTTGGCTAAGCTGAAGGATGCTGCATGTAATCCTGCTCGCAGATGGCAGTTCGAAAACACCAAACCTCGAATGCTCAATCTCTCGATGTTCGCGGTCCAAGGAACGAAGGCAACGATTTGGAGCCAACCTCTCGACAGAAAGAAAAAGCTTGGCTAGATTGTCATCTTCATAAGAAATCCACATCTCTTGTTCTGGGGCGTGCTTAAGCTTCGGGACACAGAGGATTCGCGTAGCTTTGTGTGCCTAGCGAGTCAGGGGCGTTCCTAAAGCTGAGGCCGGCTTCGGGGCATGTCTTGGGGCGTGAAAGAGAATGTCCTGAAAGCGACCGCGGAGAAATGCTGAGCAACCTGACCCACCCCCGCCAAAAATCACAAAGGAATCTGAAGCCTGCAAAACACCTTAATCAAAAAAAGTGCGGCTGAGCAGTGCCAAACAACAATCTTGGAAGCGAAGCGGCAGGGGAGGTTGCAAAGCAGGGCAAAGCAGGGCAAAGCAGGGGCACAACGAGCAAGGCTGGGACAGGATGGGACAGGATCGAGTCTTTCTTCTGGGGTCGCTGTCGCTGCCCCTCCCCCCAAAACGCATCCCCCAGCCCGTAACAGCCCGCAACAGCCTCCCGAAGCCCCCCCTGCCCGCTTCGCCCAGGCGGGTTCAGACGTCTCAAGACTGGCCAACAGTGGCAAACCCTGACACCCGACATCTCTAACGATGACGCTATCCAGACTGCACACCGACCGTCCGATACAACTGGCCGTATTCGGCTCTCAAGGTCAGTTTTCGGCCAATCTTCCCCACCCACATGCTTCACAGTTTTGCGTTCACATCGGAACCCAAACAGGTGTGCAGAGAGTGACTATGGACTGTGACTAGAACAAAAAAAGGAAATGCCACCGAAAGCCACTCCTAGCCCATGGCTTCCAGAACCCCGCAAGCATCGTGCAACCGTGCAAAACATCCCAAACTTTGAAGCCTTTGTAAAGCCTTTCAAAAGCCTTTGAAAAGCCTTTGAAGGTCCTTTCAAAAGCCCAAGCAAAGCTGGTCTACGCACCGAGCCTGCAAGCGGGACTGCCGCAGCACCCTTCAGTCCATTCGGGATGTCCTCGGCTTTGAGGGGACTGGAACATACTGGAACGAAGGCTGGCGCAGGGGTCACGAGATGCTCAAGCCAACTGCGGTTCTATGGGTGGGCTGTGGACGAAGACAACCTGAAACTCTCGCAGCCGACCCGAGGGGGGGGAAAACACTTGGAGCCCAAAGAGCAGCAACCTGACATGTTCTTTACCCACAACCCCACATGGCACGATTGATAAGAAGCTCCACTGAATCTCAGCAGCTTGCCTTGCAAAAGTGGATATCCCGGTGCGTGGATGCCGCAAGGGGGGGCGACACGCTACAAGCAAGTATGTACTAGCATGTACTAACAGAACCAACGCTGGTTCTATTGGCTCCAAGTCTAAGTTTAAACGGCTTGTCCTTAAGGTGCTTTGATGCAAGGGGGAGGCCAAGCTCGGGCTCACTCTCGGATTACACAGATCAGGCCCAGGGATCCGTGAAGGCCAGCTTCTCGGAGGGCGCGCAGAGGCCTGCTGCAGAGGACTAAACATTTAAACATTTAAGACTCTGAACAGCGCAGACCAAGGCGGCCTGCGTCCCAAAACACTTCGAGGCTTCGCACCCCCAGCCCAAGTATTCCTGAAGCTGACAAGACCGTTGCGTCTCAATCATCCATGAATTTCGAGCCCAGCCCTACGGGCCCAGCCTTTATGGAATGTATCTATGGCTGCGTTCTAGTATGTGGGTACCCTCACCGCAGCTGCACCAAGCACCACACCAATACCAAGCAACCACCACCACCACCACCACCAAGCACCTGCCACACCATCACCACCAGTCAAACATGCAGCTGTGTAGCAACATCCCCCAAAACTCAAGCCTAGCTCCGATGGCTTTCCTGGCTATGAACCTGCACCTTTTGGCACACAGTTGCGCGCGTGCAACATGCGTAACAGGCGTTCACAGCAGCCGCTTACACGGAGTGCTTTAATGATGTCTTGGCCTGGGAAGCGGAAGTACTCTGGGACGATGTAGCCGATGCATGCAAGCATCGCAACCTTTGCACGATGCTTTGCGAGAGCCAGAGAGCGAGCGAGAGAGAGAGAGAGAGAGACAGAGAGACGGAGAGCTGAAAAGGAAGCCACGCCGAAGCCAGTGGCCGACTCGAGCTTGAAGAAGTCTCTACGCAGAGAGTACCGTAGATTTGTGACAAGCATGAACTCCCACACCCTGAAAGGCAGCAAGCCATAGCAAGCTCGCCCAGTTAGAGGTGATTTGGGTTCGAGATGACAGCAGTGATACCTACCCCACAACCCGGCTCCACTACAAACACCGCTCGGTCCCCCACACGCCCGTGCTGGATCTCGATGATCCGCCTTCGCTTGAACTGCGAGGCCGCGATCTGTCAGGCAGCAAGATCAGAGGGGACGCTTTGGGCTGGAAAGGCGGCGCCTTTGCAACCCCTGGGAACCCAAATGCTTACCTCTAAGCACTGCGAGGCTGGTGCAGTTCGCTCAGGAGACCGTTGGTTCTTTTCAGGATGCTGGGCGATTCTGGGATACATCCCTTGCAGACCTGTTGCACGGTTGCAACCCCAACAGTCTCAATCAAGGAACCTCGATGCCCTCAAGTTGTTTGATTCTGCACACCCTGAACTCCTGTCCGACTCGAAGCTCTTCAGCCGATACTAGCACAAGAGCATGAGAAACCCCTGAAGCTTGTGAAATACTTTTCAATGCCTCGGGGTCATCAAACTTGCTGAGGCCGAGCGGGTCAAAGAAGCCCAGGGGCGGCGTCACACCAAGCTCCTTTCATTGCGCTTTTGACCGGACTTAAGGAAGTGCAAAGATGTGTAAAGCATTGCAAGGGGTTGGGCCATTTGCTGTTCCGTATTGCAGGCTCTCGTGCGGGGCAGGGGGGGTCTGCAGAGTCGGGTCCGCTACAGCTTCTCAGTCCAGGATCTATGAAACTTTCGGGGCCCTTTCAGAGTCTAATTCGCTCTAAAGCTGGGTCTTTTCTAACAACCATATTGAATCAATGACTGCTCCCAATCCCATGACCGAGGGATTTCAAGGGTTGAACCTCATCTATACACCCAAACCACTTCGAGGGCTCTCCACACTCCACCGGAGACATCCCAAGAACTGCCCAAGAAATGTGACAAGTCGGTGACAAGTTGAAGAGGAAACTTTCTGGTCGCCGCGAGTGAAGAAGAAACCCTTGGCCCGTGCAACTTTAGAGCGAGGATCTGTAGAGAAATCCGGCGCAGCTGCTCGCAAGGGAGAGTCGGCATAGTTGGCCCAGTCACCTTCGCGAGATTTACGAAGCGGCATGCAGATGTATGCAGGCAATACCAAGGCAATGCCAGGTCTGATGACTATTTCTGGCTGACGTTGTGGGAGGGGCGGGCATCCACTCCTCATGCCCTTCAAGCCCTTCAAGCCTCAAGGGCAGCCTCTCATAAACACTGAGTTTTGCTCAGAGCTCCAAACCTGGTCTAAGAGCCTCTTGCTCCATGAAGCAACTACTCAAATGTCTACACCATGGATCACACAGCCACTCTCCAAGATCTCTGATTTGGAACGTCAGGGGAGAGCTGTTCTTTCCGTTTTTCTTCAATTGATTGCACCATGTTTACTTTCAGACTCTTATTGAAGAAGGCTCAAAGATGGAACAAAAGAAAGTCTTTGCTCTCAACCGGGGCTCCCCAGGCGGATCCCGTGAGGCCATCCTGGAAGAACATTCCTGGGCTTCTTGGGAGGGCCTTTTGGCTTGGGCTCAAAACTGGGATTGGGATCACAGCAATGCTGGGCACGGGTGGTGTCGGGCTTTTCAGGCCAGTCAGCCTTCTTGTAGGTTTAGTAGACAGAGAGGACTCAGAAGACTCTCAAAGCCAACTGTTGTGAAGCACAGACTTAACCATGAGTGTACAAGTGGCCGATGATGGCCATCATCGCCAGCCTTCCATTGCTGGCGCTTCTTTGGGGGGTGTTTTGGCGTACAGGAGACGGTCGACGTGGGGCCCAAACAGGGGCCCAAACACATTGCCCAAACTGGCCGGCAACGACAGTCCTTTGATGTCCTTTGCCTGCCGTTGTTGATCTCCGCGTTCAGGCTCTTCGTCTTCTTTTCCGCATCCTCCGCTGCTCTGCGGGGGGCTCTCCCCAAAAAAGAGACTTAAACCCTCGAATCCTCCCACAAAAAAGGTGCCAGAAAGCCCTAAACCCCTAAGGAGCCCTGGCCCACCCAAGACTCAGGGATGCCTGAAGCGGCCCTGCTGAGGGAGCCTTTTGGGCCTCTGAGCTCCTGAGTCAAAACCTCAAGACCCCTCAAGAAATCGAACAGATGTTGATAAATCAGTCCAAACCTCTGAAATCTCAGGAAGCCGCAACCCCGGGACCACCCAAACCCAAAGCAAGCGTGCGCCATCCTCGATCTTCTTGCCGAAGGGGAGACCGAATGCACCGTAGCCTCTGATGGCGCTTGACGCGCTACACCAGAATGAATGCTTAAAGTCTCTGCCTCTGACACACACACACACACAACACACACAAAAAAGGAAAAGCTGACTCCAGAGCAATCAAAAAAAGGAGTTTCTGCCTTTTACACCCGTTTTGCACTGTACGACTACGCTCCCAAACCCTACAAGCCCATAGCAATTCGCTAAGGCCGCTAAGATCTCAGACTAGGCAGGATGGAGGGCAACAACTGCCCAGAAACATGCGATTGAAGCACTGCTGGCGCGCCAACCGCGGAAACCCTCACCCAAACCTTATGACCCGCAAGCCTGTTTATGTCTCATACCTTCTCCCTGAGACAAGACACCATAGTCTCCCAGCACACCATCCTGAATGGTCTGGAGATTGTAGACCCTTGGTTCCGGTGGCTTTTAACGCCCACGGAGTGCATCCAATCAACTTTAGAATCTTAAGCTGTAAAGGGGCACGCAAACGCACGCAAACGCACGCAGATACACGCAAATGCACGCAAATGCACGCAAATGCATGCAACGTCGCAGTTTGCAAAGGCAATCAACACAAGCGAGACTGGTGGACTAGCAATCTCTGTGCTGGAGTGGTTCTCTGTGCTGGAGAGTGGTTTGATCTGGCTAGACGTTGCAGAGCCGAACTGTTCAGCTCATCTGGAAGCAAGGAGCATGTGAATGTCCTGTTGGCGTGACTTTGTCGAATTAATGCAGTCATGAACATTACACTGTAAGCTGGTCGAGCATGGAAACAGAACGGAACGAGAGACAGAGGCCTTCAGGAAAGACATGGCAAAACAAGCACTCTCTCTGCGTCAGGACAATGAAGAAGTTTGTATGGTCAACAAACGACGAATGCGATGACACAATCCAACTTGAATATGCACGTGGCCAACATCAACATATGTATATATACATATATATATATATATAACACCACAACCATGCAAAGGTATAAAAAACGCAAAAAAAGTTGCAAGATGATTACAATGAATGAATAAATAAATAAATGAAGAAAGACCTTCATGAGTCAACACATAACCGAATGAATTCAGCAATAAACAAAACATCTGAAGAGGAGTCAGAGGAGAGAGAGAGAGAGAGATTAGAAAAAAAGGTCTCTTGGCGTCTGCGTCTCAAAATGCGTCGAAAAAGACAAGAGACAAGAGACACAAACCTGATTCAAAAAAAAAGATGATAGAAAGAAGAGAACTTCAAAGGTCCAGAGAGGACCCACAAACCAAGACCAGCCCAAACTAGAAGCACAACAAAAACCAACAGATCTGCAATACAAGGCACTCGATGGTGCCGACCTTTCCAGGTTCAGAGCGGGGCTTCATCGGTTCAGAGAATCTCGGAATGCTCAGTGACGTAGTGGCTTTCGGGGACGCCCGAAGGCCAAAGAACATTGGGGTGAAGAACTTCATTGATGTAGATTTCAGGTACTTAGAGTTCATGGCTAGATTTCAGGTTGTTGGCTGCATTCGAGGGCGTGTCATGCATGCAGATAGGATTCGTTGCGAAGTCGACTTTCGTTAGTACGATCACAGCTGGTCGAAGTATCATCGAAGTACCTAGATATTGAAACCCAAAAAGGACACCCCTTCACCTAAAACCAACAATCCTTAACACCCAGTCAGGCTTCTCCATGCCCCAGCGAGGCCCAAAGAGACCACACTGCTCGAGGCTCAACCCTAAGGACCGTGAAAAAAACTCCGTGAGAACTGCATGAAAACTCCGTGAGAACTCGCAAACCCTCCCTCGCCGTGCTAGCCGTGCACTCTAACCCTGTGCACTCTAACCCTGCGCACTCTCACCCTCAAACACGGGAAACGCTGTGGTCCGGACGAAGGCGACGATCTGCAGCCAGCCTTCGGCATTCCGGAGGCTTTGGGGGCTGTGCATGCGCTTTCCGGGATCAAGCGCCAGGCTTGGAGATGTTTAATGTAGAGTACGAGCCTGTCTCGAAACATCCCCGAGATCGTGCCACTTCTGGCCTAGGGCGTCCTGAGGTCAAAAACTCCTGCCGAACGTCCGCTTGCGCACAACCCATGCTCCAAGTTCAACCGGAAACAGCAGGCTGCGGTAAACCTGCGAAATTTTGAACTCTATACCCAAAATGAACCCTAAACCGCCCTTGACTACTACAAAACATCTTCCTGAGCACGGGCTTGCTAGAGGGGAGCCTGCCAGAGGCACCGCTGCGGCACCCTTCAGTCCGTTGGGGATGTCCTGGGCTCAGTTCTGAAGCTGCAAGGGGCCACTGGATTTCTTGGGCTGAGCTTCCGCTCTTCCACTCTTCTTCCTTGCTGCTGCCGCCTCTTCTGCCATGTTCTTGTTGCTTCTTGGATGAGTCGATGTGTGTATAGATGTATATATACATATATCCATATGAATCGTGTAGGTGAGGGCGGACGTGGGCGTGCGTGGACGTGCATGGTGTGGGTGTGGGTGGGTGCGGATGGGTGTGGGGATGGGTGTGGATGGGTGTGGGTGGACTGTAAGGCAAGCTTGCAAGGCTTTAAAAAGGCCGGGAATGTGAAAGGCTTGGGAGGAAGATTCAGATACCTTTGGAAACAGTTGCTCATGGCGTGGCGTCCCCTAAAGAAAGCTTGCACGGCTTTCAAAGGCGAAAGGGGGCGGAGGGCGGGACGCAGCAGTTTCGACAATTCGCATGCATTTAAAGCTCTCTCTTTATGGCGTGATGTTCTCCCCTGGCTAGGGTTGAGGTGCCGGGGGGCGCACTATTCTTCTTGGCTTAAAACCCTAATTAAACCCTAATCCCTGCTTGAATAGAAGATTGGCGATTTCAGTCTCATATTCACGTTTGTCATTTTGTTTGCTTGCTTTGCATTCGGATTAATAAGTCTTTGTGTTTGTTGGTAGATTGACTCTGCGAATTGCGAAATCGATATTTTTTGCAAAACAACAAATCCGCGTGGATTAGGCAACAAGCGGACACCCTCCCATCTGTGAGCACAATGCTCGGATACATTTCATGGAGGTATGCATTACTTTTCGCGCCGTCTGTTGGCATGTCTGTATCTGTCTCTCTCGTTCAATGTTTCAAGATTTCACTTATTTATTTATCCTTTCATGTCAAATCATTTCATTCGTTCATTTCATTACCTTTCATTTCATTTCATTTCATGTCATTTCATGTCATTTCATGTCATTTCATGTCATTTCATTTCGTGTCATGTCATTGATTTCATGTCATTCATTTCACTCATTCATTAATGTCATTCATTGATTTCATTCATTAATTTCATTCATTCATTTAATTCACTCATGTCATTCATTACTTCAGTATTTCTTTATTTCGATACTTCTTGATGTATCTTCATTTCTTTCTTTCTTTGTTTCTGCATTTCTCTCTTTCTCTACTTTTGTGTTGTTTTAACCTCTCTGGTTCTCTATTTCGTTTATTTATTCATGTATAATTTCTTTATGTCGTTACTTCGTTGTTTCATTTTTGTTTCTTTAGCTCTTTCATTCTTTCAATCTTTCATCCCTTCATGATTTCATTGTTTCATTCGTTCATTCTGTCATTCGTTCTTCCATTTGTTCGTTCATTCTGTCATTGTTTCATCGTTTCATTCGTTCAGTCTGTCATTCTTCCATCCTTTCATCCCTTCATTCTTTCATGATTCTCTCTTTGATTCTCTCATTCTTTCATTCATTCAGTCGGTCAGCCAGTCAGTCATTCGCATTTCGTCAACAGCTCATGCCGATGCTTAAGTTCATTTCACGTCCATGTCAATCATGCATTCATTCATTCATTCATGAATTCATTCATTCATTCATTCATTCATTCATTCACTCACATCATCTTTCCAACAATGAAAAACACCCTGCCCATTGCAATTCTGCCGCTTGACTCGTGCCAAGAAGCTGTGAATGACAAGCTCTGTGATGGGGAACAAAATCCTGGCCGGGAGCTTCGGCGTTCCGGACTCTTCTGGGAGCTGTTACCATGCTGGTGGCAACATTGCACGCGCAGGGGTCTACAGCCATAAGTTTTCGATACCAACATTGCTTGGGCCATCTTCTGTTCAAGCATCCAACAAGGCCAGGATACTGCCCATCATCAACACGATGCATTTCGGACTGAGGAGTCTGAAGGTTCGCGCTCCCGCGTCTGTTGATGCGGAGATCGTGCATTCAACATAACCACTGAAACCCCACGGGCCGCAACAACCCACCAAAACCCTGTTCTTTCAACCCTTCGCTTAGCATCCAGCCTGGGAAACGAAAGTATTCCGGGACGATGTACCCAATGCAGGCCAACATGGCGACCTAAGCGAGGATCACACATACACTTGGTTGATCAACCAACGGAATGTTTTTAGCTGCTCTGGCATAGGGGGTGCGCAAACCCTTTTCGTCAAAAGAAGATCAACATCTACCTTCCCAGACGCCATGAGTGATGTTTTTTTGTTTCCCAGGGCTCATACTGCATCTCTTTGCCCCTGGGTGCCTTCCTCTTGTCCGATCCAGAAACTATCGCCCAACAAGTCCTGGCACGTTTTGAGGTTGATCCTGCCGTTCGACACGATCCGGGCCTGCCTTGACATCATTGACCTCGTTCCCTTACGATGCGAAAGTACTCACATCGTCCACGAGCTAGCTCAGCAACAGAAAGATCATCCAAAGCCTCCTGATCGTCCACAGTGCTCATATGTGCTCATGCTGCGTTTCGATGCAAACCCCTGTTCACACCACAAAACCGCGCCAGCGAGTTCCCCCTTTACACCAGACCAAGCTAACCGACACCACGAACTATCCCGTTGAAGCTTGCTCATACTGTGAGGTGCAAGTTCTGCCCGAGTTGCATTCCATATCAATCCTGCCGGCGAGGAAGCCAGGAAACTCGACTCCCATGTCACCACAACAAAGCCCATTCAAAGGCTCCGGCTCGGCCGTGCTGCAGCTCGACAATCCGCCTTCGGCGGAACTGCTGCGTGGCGATCTGGCGCAACAGCAGAAGCTCTGGCAAAAGCTTGACGTGATTTTGTGGCACGGATGTTGGAGTTTCCTTCGTCCACACCTCGAGATCAGATTTTGGCTAATTTAAAGTACTGGATTCCTGCGCCACTGCGAAATCCTGAAGGAGGGATCGATGCTACGAGCATGTACAGTACCTGTCGTAGGTCTGCAAGGTCTGTGCATGGGAACGCTGCATGTAGGAAAATCTGCTGCGATGGGACACGGACGGCACTCAGCTATGGCTCTTGAGCTCTGCCCTTCAACACGCCGCATCTTGAGCGGATCCAGAATCCTGCAGGATAAGATCCGAAACCTCCTCTTCTGGCAGAAGAAGCTGCGGAAACCCATCCCAAACCAGAATGCCTCGGGGTCGTCAAACTTGCTCAAGCCCAGCGGATCCCAAAAGCCGAGGGGAGGCGTCACACCAAGCTCCTGCAACGCAACGTCGGAACCCTGCCCATCTAACACTTCATGTGTACAGCCTGCAGCGTCTCTGAACTCCTGATGTTCGAGCACGACATGCAAGTGGCCACACAGAGACCTGCGAAAATCTGCGATGCCCCAAAGCTATGACTGTGGCCTCCTGAAGGGGCGAAACCCCATTCCCCCCCTCCCCCCCAAGCGCTCCGAGGAAAAGTCTGCCCGCAGCGGAGACTCGGTGAAGTTCGCCCAGTCACCTCTGCAGCGCATGGGATCATTTTTTTATGCTCACAGGGATTCAAAGATGCCCCTTGCGCGGACCTTGCGAGCGCTTCTGCGAGCCAACCTATTCGGAGAACTCCTGCTAAGCCTCTGCACTGCCTCCCCCAACACGATGATGAATGACACATCAGGGGCCCTCATGAAAGCCCGACAGCTGAGGAACCTAATAAACAAAAGTTTTCCACTGAGATCTGTCACATTCTCACGCTTATCCCCCCAAACTTAAAAAAAAATCCAGAAGTAAGAAAAAGTGTGTCGAGAGTGAAGCCCAAGGCACCCCAAGCGGAGCCAGTGAGGCCGTCCTGGTAGAACCTCAAAGATTCTTGGGCTCAGGGGATTTGGTGCTTATGGTGAGCTGTCTCTGGCCCTGGAAGTTCGACGTTCAAGATGTCTAGAAAATGCCCTCCAATGCACGCCACCGGTATGTCCCTCGACGAATTCAGAATTTTCTTCGCCAGGGCCATGGGAAGTGTGTGGTTGCAGGATTCAGGGCGAGAGCCTCTTGCACTGTCGTTTCATAAGCATGCCAGTCCACCAGGTTGGGCTCTATGACTCTATGAGACCATCAGGCATGCGGCATACCAATGATGGCCATCATCGCCAAGCGGCCATTCCTTGGCTAAGGGCCAGCTTGCGAGAGTTCCCAAGAGTTCCAAACACACATTGCCACGGCATCTCCCACAAAACAGACAGGAGTCTACAGGGTCCACTGCCAAGGCACGCCAACTCCGCGTTGAGCTTCTTCTGCTTTGCCTTCGGACACTACGTGCGATGTGCCAAGGTTGTATTTGCCGGCTCTACGCAACTGCAGGCCTCAAGATCCACATAGGGCTTTGGGATGTTACGGGTCTTCAGAAGGCTCTTGCAGTCTGAAGAATTCCAGCAAGCTTAGGAAGCTTAGGGCTTTGAATTTAGAGTGGATTCAGAAAAATTGGCAGCATTGGAGAATGAACATAGAACCCCCTGACCTTTGGATGTCTCAGAAAAAGAACGGTGCGAACCCAAGATCCTCCAATCGTGGAAGGATGAGAGCAGTTGGGGGTTATCCCGAAGCCCTGCACGGCCACTGCAGCACTACTCTCTTAGAAGCCTCCGGGTCGGCGCTCGTGAGCACCTGGGCGCTCTCAGGCAGGTCTGTTGCTCTCTGCAAAGCTTTCCGAGGATTTCGGGCTCAAGGACTTTGATGGCTTTGGCTGTGTGGCTGAGGGCTGGAACAGCGCACTTGTCGAATGAGGAGCTGGAAGACATGGAGCCCACTGGACTGACACCACTTCCAACTGAGTTCGGACAAGAACAGTCCACTTCTGAAGGCCAATTACGCATCGCGAGACCCAAGCTCATGCCCCCTTACCCCAAGCGAAACGGTCAGCTTGAGCCACGGGCTACATATCCAGCTTTGGGATGACTGTTGTGGTATTGGGGGGGCCCTAGACTGTAGGGCTGCAGCGAATCAGGGCAGGACTTCTTGAGTTAACTCAAGGGTTTGCAGGCATTCTCCATGAGGCGATGTTTGCTGCAAAAAACAAACCTGAAACCCGGTACTGCATCATACGGGCGACGAAGCGGAAGCGTCTTGAAGGGTTCCTTAGCATCCTGGGCTCCCCGACATACCAGCCGAAGTCACCTGGACGGCCGCTGGCGATGTCAGAGCCTCCGGGACTCCGGCGCCACCCATATCCACCCCAACATGCTGCAATGAAGGTACATATAGAAAATATACATCCCAAACCAGGATCAAGTTGAGAATTCAGGCTTAGCACGTGTTAGGGTTTTTGCATGTGGACTTAACATGTTGGCACGTGCGCGTATGTGTAGCTTGGCGGAAACGTGCGCGGATCTCATCTGGACTTCCACCCAGAACTCAAACTCAAACACCTCCTGAACATCCCTAACCCTACATCCAGACTCCAAAAACACACCCTACTCCCAAAACCCCCTAAACCCTCCCAAGACCAGCTTACACGAGCTTGTGCTAGATGCGTCGAAACCTGTCCCTGACGTGTTGCTTACACGTGCGGACAGGAAGCCTCTTTAATGTTTCCTTCGTGGCCAGTCATTTGACTTTGCTCAAGAAGATTCGAGAAGTGCAACCGAAATCACACCCAAACCTTAAAACACCCTTGCAGCTCTAACAGCTTCCAACTTCGAATGCGTTTGCATCCCGGGAGTCAGGGAGTCAGAGAGTCCTTGTTCCGTCGCATTCTGTAACATCCTGGATCCCTCTTTCTCTTGTGCACAGACGAAAGCTGGAGCTATCCGGTGTACACCAAAAAACCCTGAAAGCCTCTTCCTCCCCGCCAAACTGTCCTGATGTCGGCCCTGATTCCTGCGTCTAGTTTTCGAGCGCCTCGTGGAGTCTAGTAAAGTCCTGACTTTAACGTTCACTGGCATTCCACACCGTCGCACTGCCTGCTCCCCGAGAGACCTCGCACCAGCCCATGTACAGCCTTGGCTGTGCTTCACTCGACGATTTGTTCAACTTCATTTCCAGGTTTGGGATGGCACAGAACAACTCAGCCAATGGGCGACATGCAGCCTCGAACACTTTCGTCGCTTGCTATCAATTGCCCAGACAAGCTTTGTGGTATCTACGGGTACCAGCTTGGGTGCCCCGTACCCGCCCGAGCTCATGCTCCGGAATACAAGAATTGCCAGACCAATTCCCACGTCTGCAGGCATGATCCAAAACTGCCAGCGCATGTAAACTGAATAAAAGACTTGATGAGACATCACAAAAGGTTGTGGCTGGCTCTGGTACAACATTGCTTATGCACTCCCCACAAAGGACTGGTTGCAGTTTGTCTGCTTGTTAGGCTTTTCCAGCCCCGATGAGGTCAGAACCAGCTGCGCAAGAAGACTGCATGTTGTGCCACAGGCTCTACACAAAGCTCCGCCACTCTCTCGTTGCAACTGCCTACCTTGCTTTAGTTTCTGGGGATGCATGCGTAGGCCCATTCGAGCATACGAATGGAAAGAGCAAGCTCTTGCCACAGCTAACAAAGTCCACCTTAAATACCCCTGAAGCCCCCAAAGCCCCCCAAAACCCTGAAACCCCCCCAAGCCCTAAAGACCCCTGGGCACACTCATGCGAAGCAGAAGCAATGAAGCTGCAGCACGGGAGTACGTAGCCTCAAAAAACCTGACATCCCCTCCCTCTTAAGCCCCCGAAAATCGAAAAACTCAAAGAGAGCTGAGCCACAGGATCTGTGTCCAACCCCCAGCGGGCACCTGCGGATGCTCGGAGTTCCGTGTTTCTTGCTCTAAGGCCCAAAAAGCCATGGATCGTCTGTGTGTTCGGGCGTTGTCTCTAGGAGGTCTTCTGCATCGGGACGCTCTAGTTTCCCAACAAGAAGTGGGCTCAAGGAACAGTGGCAATACCGTTTCTTTGCCCTTTGCGGATAAACGACTGTCGTCACATGAGTCTGACCTCTGCAAGGGATTTACGGACACAGCTGACCGGCTCGTGCCATGATGAGACGAAACAGAGACAAGGTTCAGGGTTGAGATCGGCAGGAGTTGCCAAACACATGAAAAAACACTCGGAGCTGCTACGGCTTGTGACGAAACAAACCTCAACCAGCCTTCGAGATTGCTGCGAGGCCGTTGGGCACGTCGGCGAACTTGAGGCCCGCGCTTGGGGAAAGGAAGCCTGCCCACTTGAGGTTCGGACGCTTTGGGGTTTGAAGGGAGTTCGATTTGGGCCCGGGTTGGGGTTAGCCTGGCGGGTTCGGCGTTGTTTAAGGTTCAAGGTTTGCAGAGGACCAGACAGCGAGATGATCTCCTGAAGCTTACAGCCTTGGGTTCACTCCTACGGTCCTCCACCGCACAGGCCCTAGTTGTTCGTGGATCTCCTCAGCCCCAAAAGACCATAAAGCCGGGTCCGAGGCTGAAGCCGTTAAAACCTAGCAAAACTCGCGGACGGCCTGTCTTTCAAGTCTACGAATCAAAGCACCCAACCACAGCCGCCTGGGAACTTCCCGGCGATTTCGGGGGTGATGTAGCCTTGCACGCATGGGGAAGAATACACTTTGTGGCTCGGGAATCAACACGCGATCATGCAGCACCAAAATGTGCGCGAAGGGAGACATTGCCGGGTTGGTCCTGTATGGGACCCTCTTTCACGTACTGCTCTCTAATCATTCTAGGCAGTCCGGAGCCGAAAAGGAATTCAATCTCAGACCTGTAGATGTATGCTTCGTTTTCCACTTGCACAATACAACCACCCTTTCTGTACGTTACATGCACACATGCAAGTGATGCACATCGAATTGATAGGACAGCACTCCAAGCAAGGAGTCATAACGGTCTGAATCTTGCACTTTAGGATAACTTCACCTGCGAAACAATGCCGAGGGACCCATCGTGGCCAGCATGGCAATGCGGCCGTGTTTCAGCTCCACCGAGCGCCTCAGACAAACTTCTGCAACAACCCTGAACCCCAAACCCTAAGCCCTAAACCCTAAACCCTAAACACCCTAAACCCTAAACTCCATAAACCCGAAGCCCTAAACTCTAAACCCTAACCACCCTAAGCCCTAAACTCTTTTTCAACCCTAAACCCTGCTTCCATCGGCGAACTCCTCAAACGACCTGGCCTGCGCATGAAGTTCTCCACGTCGCCATCCCTGGCGAGACCGAGCCTTGGCTCAGGCACTCAAAGCGGCGAGCATAAGATCTCACTCTTCCGAACCTACGAACAAAAGAGCCCTTTGAGAAAAATAAACAGCTGACCATAAACGCGCTTGTTCTTGTAAACCTGCCAGTGCTCAATCATCAATCTATCTGACGGCACTGAATGGGTGCCTGACATTCCAGCTATATTTCTCGCCGGAAATTGTCTGACTACTGTCTGACTTCTAGGTTTTGCACCGTTCGTCGAAAACAGAAACCCGACAGAACTTGGAATCTCTGCTTCGGGGGGGTGAACTGCCTCACTGTCTTGGCGACCTGCTTCTGAGGTACCACCAACTAGACAACAACTTGCGTTGCTCGACCACTATCCCAACATCCCATGGTTCACTTTGCAAGCTGAATAATGTTTCGTCCTGACGCCGCTCAATAGCCCCAAGCCTGCAGGAAAACTCGTGCAAAAAATGCCTTCGCGAAGTTTGGAACCCAGAAGCCCAAGCCCTACAAAGCCATGGGGCGGGTCCCAGAAACCCACTGGAGGCTGCACGCCAAGCTCCTGACAGAGGGGTCCAGACAATCGTCATGCGACAAGGCGCAGCAAAGAATGCACATTAATGCCGGTGAAGCACACAAAGACTATGGGTGGAAACACACGGCGAACCCGCGAACAAAGCCACAAAAAGTTATGCGTCTTCCAAGGGCTTCACAGATCAAATCAAAAAATCCTCGTTTGATGCTTAACAGGAAATATTCTCATATTCAATCGAATTGTGTCTGCATACTGTCATAGTTTTGATTGGATTTGAGACACATTTGCTTTAAACACGAGGTATGACAAGTCAATATATTAAATAAGCATTGATAAGTTGGATGTCTTAGCTTTGGGTGGCCGAAATCTAGCTAGGGCTCAGCAGAGCAAAGCTAGATTGTCGGAGCCTGCACAACTCGACTTGGGTTAGAAGCTGGAAACGGAATCATGCCCACGTTAATTCACCGAAGAAGCATGGGAAAACAAAAAAACATCGTTACCACCGCTTTCATGAGTAACGCACAAGCGACATGTGAGGCAAATTAAGGCACATCCTCATCCAGGCCAATCAGATTCCAACAAAAGTCACATATAGACACCAAAAGGCGCATAAAGACAGAGAAAGGCAGATTACAGAGAAAAAATGCCATGCACAGAAAAAACAATTTGGAGCCCAAGAGGACAGAAGCTAATCATAACGCCCTGCAGCCACGCAAAGAGCCTTCAAAGTTCCTGAACATCAAAGAGAAGCGGAGTCAGAAAGGCCCCCGAAGGCCGCGAAGTGCCTGCTCGAAGGCACCGAGGGCTGTCGTGAACTTGGACGCAGAGGCCTCACAAGAAGTTCACAACAAGGCTTCTTTTGAGATGGCCCCAAATTGCCCCCCCCCGAGCTGGATTTTTGTTGTTTGCGAAAGCGTACCTGGGAACCCGGCTTTCATGGCATGGTGGACCGATTTGGGGGCCTTGCTGTGCTTCAGGCAGCTCGTACGGCTGGCCTTCTGGTCACTTCGCTCTGAACTGCAGCGGGTTGGAGGTCCAGAAATAATCTGTTGCATGTCCTTCCAAAACAAACTTCAAAAAAATGCGAACAGCATCTTTGGCATTGTTGCAGCTTGCTTGCGGCTCAGGGGGTTGAATCTTTGAGTCTCTTTCACGTGTAGCCCCCCGAGTTTAAGGCCACAAGTTGTCAACCTCAAGACTCTCTTTGGGGGGCCCGAAGGAAACCTCCAAACCCGGAACAACAAGGCCCCTTCAAAGGCTCCCAATGCCCCGGCCTTGCCCTGGGCTCTTCTCACCTGCCGCGCTTCAGGATTTTCTGCTACTGTTGACCGCTCTGGGCCGCCGTCACATAGGTCGGACTATCAAGGTTCAAGCAACAAGGTTATGGACACGGTTCTGCTCCATGTTCGGCATGCAGTCTACAGTCTTGTTTTGAACAAACTTGGCCAGACATCATGCACATTTTGAAAAAAAAATCTCGACAGACCCACCGTGCTCTCCACCACCCGCAGCAAACACACAGACAGAGCAACACGGATTCTTGAAGGATGACCAAATACGACACATAAGTGCCAACGAAACATACCGAATGCACAACTAACGAAACAAGACTGCACTTGCAAAACAAAGCGCCAAAAAGAGCAACTGGCCACACGCAGAGCTCTCCTAAAGTTGTGCCCGCAACCATCCCCCCCGCCCATAAGATCAAAAGAGCCCCCCAAAACAAGCAAACCTCCCCCGGATTCCCCCGCCTGGCTGGCAAGGACGGCTCCGGCAGCCACAGTGCAGCCGGCGCCGAGGGATGCCACGCCGGGCTGCGCGGACTGCGACTGCGTGGACTGGGCGGAGCACAATTGGGCTCAGGATCCTAAGGGCTTTTAAGGGCCGTGGTCCGCGTCGGGGCTTTCAGGGCTTGGTGTTTGTGGATCGGCCTCTTCAGTGCAAAAACGTCGGCCGGCTTGAAAAATGGGTTCGCCGAGATTGGAAGGCAAAAAAGGTGTCCCAACACGGCCACTACCAGCATGTCACAGTAGCATCCAGTGACAAGTCCCTATCAACAGCTAGGCAAGCGAGAAACAGTCATGGTACACAGCTGCATAGCATGAAGTTTCAGAACCCTGATGCCATAAGCCCCTAAACGCTTGAGGTAAGACAAACTGATAAAGTTCAGATTCCCTAGGGTCGTGATTTTTCGATGGGCTACGGCTCCGGCAATTAGGAATGAGAGTTTCGTGTTTAAAGAATGCACGCAAATTGAATCTCAAGGATTCACGGAACCTCCCCTTTTCCTGTAATGCTATCGCTTCACTCTTCGGCCACCACAAAACAAAAGACACATGAAGCACGCAAGGATCTGGTACTCCACCATACCCCCTATCCGGACTGCAAGACCTCTGTATATACACTTTCAAGCTAGAATCCCCGAACAGTCGAAACATGTCGAAAGCCTGCACCATGTACCTGACAACGAATTAGAACTCTAAGGCTTGCAACAACCGCCACACAAGAACCCCAAGAATTTCAACCCTCAAGCGCGGAAAAGCTCGGAAGGCATTGGGCTCTGAAACCACTGATCATCTTGACATCTTGACAATTCATTCCACGACATTTCGTGGTCACACCAGCAGCGTGCAGTCCCCCGACTCGCCCGACTCGCCCAATTGCAAAGCAAACCTCTCACAATGACTGGCAACCTCGGCGCTGGAGACAACACTAAAAATCCCAAGCCCCTATGCCCAAATTCTGAATCTGAAGGCCCGTGCCTGGTTTCCTCGCCGGAGGGAGGTAGCCGCGGTGGTCCGGGTGCTGGAGGACCCGGTGGGAGCAACAAAGGCGGCGCCTCGATGAAGTCACGAAGGAAGCGCATCACAATGACAACACAACTGCGCAACTTTCCCAGGCATCGAAAACTAGGCTTCTATGTCGCCTGATGTTGTGATACCGGGACCTGGTCCGAATCACGTGCATTAAAATCATGAAAGCATCCCGTGAGTCGACCAAAAAATGTCTTCCAACAGTGCAGACGCATCACCAACATGCCCTTGAACGTTACTACACAAACAGGCTTCCCACACAGGAACGGACTTTCTGTCATGTAATGTTGCAATTTTTGGACGACCCGTCGAAAACCCCGCACCCTGCAGGCCATGCAGGCACAATAGCCTCCGAGGGCACCGGCAAGGCCAAGGCCGCAAATCGCCATCTGTGCCGGGGTGGGGATCGTGCAGGCAGCGGGGATTGCGATAAAAGCCTGTGGTTTGGGCTCAAGGTGCACATGGGGCAACACGAGGCTTTGGGCTTTCACGAATGGAAGTTCGACCATCAATAAGTTCGAGTGCTGGGATGAAAAAATTTGGGGATCGCAGACCGCCCAAAAATCACAAAACAGGTTCTCTCAAAAACCAGCCCTCACCACAACGGCTTTCATCTTTGCTGAATATAGTCGAAGCCCTTGTGTAAGTTGAAAGCACGAACAAGCTTAGAGCCGTAAACCACTGAGTCAACAAATGGCCTCAACCCAAATACATCTGCGCCTCCCAAACCCCCCAGAACTCTCCAGAACCCAGCAAAGCCCACCAAAAGCTTCCAGTGAGCCCTCCTATACACGCCAACTCCAGCCTTCTTGCTAGAGGCCATGGTTGAACTCCCGGCGGTCAACCTCTGAACTGGGCCGTAGCTCAGCTAATCTTGAGCAGGCCGCAGCTGCACATGCAACAATCAAGGGGTACATGAGATGCAAAGAACATGCGATGATGCGGTAGTACCCTTTCGTGTTGACAGCTGCTTTTGGAACAAGGGAAAAATCAGCATTGCTGCTTGGGGAAAAGTATCGACAAAAAGCAATGCCACCAAGGTCGGCATCACTCGTGGACCGAAAGTGGACACAAATCTAACTCCAAAGGAAACAACTGCCAGGACCCCAAGCCCATCACCGTCAGGGAACGTTAACAGGGAAGAGTGCTTCAGGATGTCGACTATCACAACTCGCGCAAGGCAGGCAAGGATCCAAGTCGGAGGCATGACAGCACAAGAGCTACACTTTCATACACAAATCGAAAATAAGTCTTACGCAAGCAAGTCTTCGCAGCAGGACTTGTTTTCACAAATTTGCTTAACCTCAACTTGAATTCGAAAACGACAGCAGACAGAAATGGAAACTGCACGCAGTTCACTGCCAAGCACTAGTTTCTTACGAATGTACGTTAGTGACACGAAAAGGCAGTGCACGCACTCTCTCTTTTTCGACTCGTTTGCACAGACAGAAACCCGGTCGGTGAAAGAAGGACATGGAACATCGGACGGATGGGAAGCAGAAGAATGCTGGACGGGAGCTCCAGCTCCGGACAGCAAAGTCAGGAAGTGACAGAAAGTTGAGGCACACAGACAGGACAGGCCAACATTGGCAAGAATGTGTTGAGGAAGGATTTCGGGAGATGTATGCCGGAGGCTCCAGACATGTGCCGAGTACATGATGTGGGGCATGCAGCAGGTCTTCAGTGGCATAGCATGCAACCTAAGCCAGAGAGCTTATGTTCGGAGTGCTCGATTGAAGTAAGCCAAAAAGATCCGAGCTCGCCATGGTGATTTCACTGATTGCCCCTTCGTTCTGACATCGAACCCAACCCCAAGGGCACAACCTGGGGGGTGCTTTGCACCAACAGGTTATGAGCCCAAGGGCTCCTGGGGCGCGACCTGATGTTCGACTTCCTGGTGAATCTGCAGGACCGAATTCTGGATTGTTTCAGGGTTGCCCAATGGGACTGACAGAGCCAGCCATGCTCTACGTGAAGGATATGGTTCTGTCCCAATGAGTGGTTCTTTTGGACAGCATGTGGTGCTGCTAGTGGCTCAATGGGAGAGGCGATGGAGCAACGACAACCGGATTGGATGAATGCTGCTGCGGCGTCGCAAACCGGACCGGACTCGTCGCAGGAGCGTACGTTACATACACGAACGAGTGCTCATCCTGCCCCTTCCCAACCCCCACATGAGCAACAGTCGCAGCAGCAGCAAGCGCCAGCAGGAATGACTTCGGTGACTACATCTCAAGCACCAGCAGGAAGAACTTCGGTGGCTACATCTCAAGCACCAGACCTGACTTCGGCTATGACACAACGGGAACCTGGAGTGCCTTTGTCAAGTGCAACCATGGGTCATGAACCTGTTCGTGAAGGTCAGTCAACAAGGTCGAGTCTCCCACAGCCTATGCAACAAGCAATGCAGCAGTTGGCTCAGCAGCGAACGGTGATGTTTCAAGCTGTACAAGAGCGAGCTCCGCTAGAGTCTCTACTAGGTGCTGTCGTTCGCGCAGCGAAGCTGCCCTGGACGTGGGTGCGGGGAAAGTACGGCATGCGTACTTGTGATGGCCAATGGCACTGCTGGGCAGCTCTCGCGTGTAATCGCAGGTGGGCGTGCGCCCTAACATCCCTGCGGGCCCCCAGATCGCCTGTTGACCGCCGATTGTTTGTATGGCTGGCTGACACCAAACCAGATAAGGCTTGTACTCTGCGGCTAGGAAGTATTTCCAGCCCGCGCGCTCTACAGGATGCCTGCCACTGCTGACATCCTCCAACCCCACGGGATGCGCCCCTTTTGTTAAAAGGCAAAACTTACCCATAAGGCAGTTGCCTTCAGGTGACAAGATCCGCGGTCAGAGCAACACTGAATCCTGTTTGCGCTGCCCGAGGCAGCCAGGCCTTCCACACCCCACACCCCAATTCCACCATGCCGCCATGGCAGAGAATACCACAACCCCGTCAGAGAAATTTTGATGTTAGGGGGGGCAATACGGAGCATTCAAAGCCGCCAAAGGAATGTGTAACTACGTACCAGGACATATAAGGGCCTTCGAGAAGATCTGGAGACGGGCTTAGAGACTATGCCTAATCGGGTTGGGTAAGATTGGGATGGTAATGTCACGAAGGCGTAGATATGTGTGTGTGAGCGCCTTCACATGTTCAGCTCAAGCCAAGAAAGTTTCAAGATCACGTAGATTTAATTTTGGGGACATGTAACAGCAACGGATGCCATTCTAGACTGCCGCTTCCCCATGTCATGCCTCAACAGTTCTCCACTACCGAAGCCTCCAACACGACACAATCCACTGGGTAGGTCCCGGCTAAGCAGCAGGGCCACGAAAGGGAGTTGTTTTTCTGTGTCTGTCTGTCTGTGTGTGTCTCTGTGTGTGTGTGTGCGCGTGCGCGGGCGCGCGGGCGCGGGTGTGCAATCAAACTCAAGGGGCGTGTGGGCGCGAATGTGCGCGCCCTTGCGGCCTTTGCACGCGTGTTGTTTTGTTTTCCTTGGTGTGTGTGTGTGTGTGCGTGCCCCTGTGTGTGTGAGTGTGTGCGTGTGTCTCTGTCTGTGAGTGTGAGTGTGAGTGTGAGTGTGAGTGTGAGTGTGAGTGTGAGTGTGAGTGTGAGTGTGAGTGTGAGTGTGAGTGTGAGTGTGAGTGTGAGTGTGAGTGTGAGTGTCATTTTTTGTCTGTGTGTATTTGCGTGTATCTGCGTGTGTCTCTGTGTGTCTGTGCGTCTGTGTGTCTGTTGTGGAGGCTGTGGACTTCGCTATGGAAAAGGCTTTTGCTTCCACGTCACGTGGAGTCGACTTCGGGGTGATCACTGCGTCGCTCTTTGCAACTCGGAGCTTGGACGCAAGCGCCAGGTGCTTTGTTGCAAACAGAAACGGAAACCCCAATAGCAAAACCCCTATCAGGCTGCAGTTTTTAGTACAGTATCTTTCCCATCCCAAAGTTGGGAGATTCTCTTGGCTTGCGGAATGGAACGGCGTTAGTTTCAGCACTTCCGTCATTCTGAAAAGGAGTTTTTGTAGTACCCCCAGCTTCAGGATGACGTACCTTCGAAATCCCATCATCCTGCAAACGATTCGTTTTGCGCACGTTAAGCTATCCCCTTCGCCTCTGAAGCCAGATATGACATGAGCCCGTGTTACACTGCAAGCGTGAAATTGGACTTCTATGTGTTGCTGAGCCCTAGGCAAAATGACGAGTATCCCGAAAAGGAAGACATCGGCCCTTCTTGGGGATCCCATATAGACCCTGTATAAACCACCCTAGACCAAGACAGTCATGTTAGGAGCTCATCGAGTCCACACGCTGACAAAATCCCTCACGTTGTCACATCGGCAGAGACCTTTTGCCACACGAGCGAGCCTAAGTAGCCTCTGTATGCTTTGCAGACCCTTCTGGGTGCAAGCACGAAGACCAGTCGGAGTAGATTTTGGGGCCCCAAGGTTTGTAGGGATTTTGAGCTGCAGGCAGGCCCTACAACCCTAAACCCCGGGTCTCCTGCTGTTCCTATGACAGGCGGAGAGCAGACGCGTCGCACCAGTTCAGGGACCCCCCAAACCTCAATTCCCCCAACCTCACTTTCCTAATCTTTACACCTTATGCACCCTAAGCACCAAACCCTAAACCTTCCCCCAACCCCACGTCCTAAACCTGTCCAAAATCCGAATCCTTAAATCAGCCTACGGCCAAACCAGGGCCAGAGCCCCAGGCGACCTAAGCTGACCTGCCTTGCTAACACCACTAAGCCCTGAACCAAGGAGCCTAAGCTGCCAAGCTACAAGGTCTCGAGGGCTTGCACTTATTCAGGGAATTCGGTACACTATACTAGAGCATACTTTTGGAACCCCAAGTATACTATGGTGTACTATCAGGTATACTGTACAGTGTACTAGAGCATAGTGTAGTACACTATAAGGAAGACTAGCGAGAGACCGTCTAGAAGAGGCCTTTGGCCTTCACGGGGCGCCAGGATCCTGCGATTCCAGAGCTGGCCTCCGCTGAAAACCAGCGGGCAGCCAGCCCCGGCAATGGCAGGAGACCGCGAGCCGACGAAAGAAGCAACT